GCCTACGTGAAACTGGCAGCTCAGCAGACCAGGAGCCTATTTCTCTTTTTTAAAAAGGTCTAAGTGAAGAAAAAGTCTTAATTATATGTAGTATTTGCAGTGAACTGGCTTATTTATGTGCGAATTCATAAGCATTTATTTTAACCCTGTCTTATTGTACACTTACTATTATTGGTACTGAAGGACTATAAAATCTTGCCTTTGGGACTATTGAAGAATGATAATATCTTATTAATGTAACTGTTTAATGTGTATGTTGACATTATGCTTTCTATACAGTCTTACCTGATGATTCAGAATAAATCTAAACATTCACCTAACCATTATCCCCAGTCATCTTTTCATTCTTGACAAAAGGGAACTTCTTAGAGCTGCTACATTGTCAAAGCAACTGATATCCGTCTGCTTTTTTACTATGAGTGCGACGATGTTAGATTCATGTTGTGAAAAGTCAAATATTTCTCTAGCACGTTTTCCACCCCCCAACATTGTGTTGTCCCCTTGAAGTTCTCTCCATCAGGGCCTCGCCTGTGTGGGAGTCAGCTCAAGTCAAAGGATAATTACTTCTTATAGGGAGATTAATGACTCTGGCCTTTCTTTATTTTTCTCTCAGTTCCTGTTTCTGTCACCTGCTGGTTAGCGCTCAGATCCTTAATAGGTGCTGTTAAATTCATATCTAAAGGTAAATTGGAAAGAAGGATCATTAAAAGATAAAGGACATGAACTGCTGGAAAGCCCCAGAGATTGCCTCTCGCAGTTCTCGCCCAGTCTCTGCTGCTTTATTGTTTACCTCCTCTAGCCCCAGATGCACTTTGGCACTTTGGCCCAAGGCGTGCTGTTGTTGTAGTTGCTAAGGCATTTAATGGCCTTTGCTTTTTATGTTCCTTTTCCTTATTTTCCCTGTTGGTACCAATCTCCTGACAATCCCTGCTTTTTTATATGATAAAGATCTTTTGTGATAAAAGTCCTTTTCTGATTTTTTTTCTCTCCTGGAGAATAATAAATGGAGCTGTGTTCCAGTGAGTAGTAAAATATGAAACCCTATAAAGCCACCTAGGTTATTAGATGAGTATCACAGAGCTGCTTATAATGCATTATGGCTCAATATAGATTATAGATGTGGCCAAATGGTAATTAGCAGATCTGGAGCTGTAATTAAACCCTACCGTGCTTCTCTGTGATACCTCTGCATTTTTGTTGCCAAATACTGTACAGTGGTACTGATGTACTCTTTGCTGATTGGTTCCAGGAGACATAAAGAGTACCAAAAATGACAAATATCTAACAAATTGTTTTAGCTGGAAAAAGGTAGCAAGGCACATGACAGTCAACACCAGCAAATTCTGTCTTGTCAAATATCAAAAAGACAAGTATTGGGACAAAAGTTTCACGCCACAATGCACTGAGTACAAATTTAATGAGTTTCAAAATGTTTGAGTACCAAAATACTGTGTTTTGTTTTGGTTTGTTTGTTTGTTTTGAGCCAGGTCTCATTAGGCAGTTCAGAATGGTCTTGAACTCACTATGTAGCCCAGATTGCCTTAAACTCATGGCAGTCCTCTTGCCTCGGCCTCCTGAGTGCTAGAATTAATAAGCATGTGCCACCATGCTCAGCTCCAAGATATGATTTTGTAGAAAGAAACTGAGTAGTTTGGAATTAATGGTGAATTTCTTCACTTTTCTTACTCCTAAACATCTCTTTTTTCTATGAAACTATGAAATAAGGTCATCCTCCTATAGACAGATCCTGGACTCTACTTTTTTGGTAATCAATTCTGTGTGCGTATTTATTTTTAATGATCAGTTGACGTTGTTTTCTTCGTATATTTTGTATCAAGCTTTACTTTGACATACTGCTTGAAAGCAACAATGCTGTTTCTGACTTACGGTGCTGTTTTCTGGATTTCTTAGTGCAGAACTAGGGCTTTGACCTTACCTAGAACATACTAGCATATCTCCTTCTGGTCTCCCAGAAACCCTGAACATCCTAGCAGGAAGGGAAATCATTTCACAGAACAGTTGCCCTGGATATCTGAGAAAGAGAGGGACAGAAGAGGAAAGGGAAGGAAAGAGAACTGGGAGGAACTGGAACCCGCTGGCAATGAGACATGCCCAAACAAAGCAATTGCCAAGTTCTCAGGAGCTGGCTGGAAGTTGTAGGTCCATCTCTTGTGCAAGAAAGAAGATCTTGCATGATTTTATCTTGCTAATACAAGATGATATAGGAAAAGGAACAAACCTTAAGCCAAAAAAAATGCACTTACTGGCTGTGAGATAGCATCTGTCCCAATTATTTCCCAAGAGATAGAACAGAGGAGCAGAGGTAACCAGTAGTAAAGATGATCTATGTGTTCCATCTCTAATTTCCCACTTTCCAGGGACTCTCAAGGGATTCTTAGAGCATTCCTGAAAGAACTTGCGGGTTAAAGCCAGATTCCAACCTTGGAAAGGAGCCGTAGTGACATATGGGGAAAATGTAACTCCCAGCCTGCTCAATGTCAGATCTGCTGAGGTCGTGTTCCTTTAAACTGAACAGTGCATTCCCAAGGATGAAGGCGGTTAAGAAGAGGAGAGGTTTATATAAGAGGGGAGTAGGAATAGCTCCTGAGAGACAAGGTGGTAGGGAGGGTGTCCTGGAAGTGGGTTGCCACTGAAGCCCTTTGTCAGGGATAATTTGTACAGCAGAGTCACAGTGTGGATATAATGTGGCTCAAACTGTCATCAGCCAGTAGGATTACAAGTCTAACTACTTAGCTAATATTGATCCATTATAAAAGCAAGCCATGTAGCAAGAGTCCATGAGGGAAAAAAAGGCTTTTGGAGGAGGGATGGGTCCGGTTGCTTTGGACACCCACCTGGGGGACTGATGTCTGTCTAGCCTTTACTAGGCCAGGTGGTGCTAATTGCAGTATGGTGCCAAGTTACTACTTTTATGCCTTAGGGAGTCGTGCAGACCTGGCCATTGCATCTTTATCTTGAGGCCTGGCCTTTTTCAAGTGCACCTCTAGCCACAATTCTGATACCTTCATACCTGGCTCCCTTGATGGCCAAGTCTCTACCCATAATTTTTATCTAACTTAGCTACCTATAAAAGTAGGAAGATTCAAGCTTAGTTTTTTGTGTTGTTTGTACCTTTAAATCTGTACAAGATGATTTTGAAGGATCTTTCAGGTACAGACCATATCTCTAGAAGATTGCCAAATTAAATTCCTGATTTTCAGACCCAACATACCTTTTTTGGCTTTTGTCATAAATAGAGATTCATTATACACCCTTCCACTTCCATTTCATTTTATAGAAAGGTGGTGTTGGGAAAAGTACTGTGTATGTGTGTGTGCACACACTGATTGGTCTCACATGAACAGATAAGGATAATGTTCTGGCAGATCTTAAAAGGACAGTAATTAGTATCAGTGTAGGAACATTCCGTGCACCCAGTTTGAGCTACCATTGTGTTGACTTTCTGTGTGAGAAGTCATCGCCAACTGCAAAAACTGAAGGTGTACACAGACCTCAGCCTCCGGGAAGGTGTGCATATGGGGGAGGGAGGTAGACTGCAGGCAGAGTGGTGGCCACGCAGTGTAAATTCTCCCAGAACAGAGTCCAGAACAGGTGGAGCTGTCCAGCAACTTAGGCTGCGGATGCATGCACGGCCACCTCTGAATGTTTCTGTTCAAGACTACATTTTATCTATGAAAAGCCTCTTTTAAGGGGAGAGAATCTCAGTCGTTGACTCTCATTTTATGCCGATTGGTTTCATAATCTTTAAAGGGAATCAGGTGGTGTATTGTCGTGTATGCACATTAGTTAGGACTTGGGTGCTATAGACTTAGAGCCTTATAGACTTGGTCAGCCTGATAAATGCTGAAACTTAAATAGTTTAAGGATGATCACTCACTGAATTCTATCTTTTATATTACCTCTGGGTGTGTTTCATTCTTCTTGGAACCTAAGTAGTCAGTGTTCTTGTGAGCATTTCTGGTTTGGGAGGTAGGTTGCTAGTGTTGTTTTTAAAACGGTGCATGTGTAATCAGTTACATCTTCAGACTGCTACAGATAGCTAGCACTTGGCTTCTGAGTAGTAACAGCACCTCCTCTTTCTTACAGATAAATTTGATGTTAGGGTCCTACTCCAAAATGTTACTCTTATTGACCATCCATTGTTACAATCTCTGAAGGCTGTAAACTCCCATCAGATTGCTTCCAGCCCACATAGGACTTTTAAGTAAATTTCTTTCTGCTGAAGTTGTTTTGAAGTTCCTACGATCATTAGGGATCCTGGCATCCCCAGTCTGGCTGTGTGTCCCTATCTGTCCGCACCTGTGACCATGACTGTGTTCCCCTTGCTGAATGCTAGATTGGCAGCCAGTGCAGCAGCAGCAGTAGAACATGCCTCAGAAGCTTGGGCTTCTTCCCATCAGTCCTCATACTCTGTTGCTGTTGAAATCTGGCCCAGATTCTTTTGCAGTAGGAACTTTTAAATGAGACAAGAAAAAATAGAACTCTTTTGTGTTTAGTTTGGTTTGGTTTTAGTGCTTCTAGCCAAGTACAGCTTACAAGCAGTATCATTAGTAAAAAATAGAACTGTGCCTAGCACAGGGTGCTCTAATCGGAGCCAGTCCATTTGTGATAGTATCATGAGCTAGACTTTGGAAGACCAGCTTACACTTGGAGCAGCTGCATTCAAGTAGATAAGGATGTAGGATTAGATGAAATACAAAAGGTATATTTCTTTAGTTGAGTGGGGTGACACACACCTATTTTCCAATACTCTTGGGAGGCTGAGGCAGGAGAATTACAGGTTCAGGCCCAGCCTGAGCAACTTAGCAAGGCCCTATCTCAAAATAAAAATATTTTTTTAAAAAAAGTATTGGGGATGTAGCTCTGTGCAGAGGCTCTGGGTTCAATCCCCAGTACCAAAAAAAAAAGTTTGGGTGGGGGAGTTATTCCCTTAATATGATCTCCCTGCCTCTCAGCTGCTACTTTCTCTTCCCCCACAGATGGAGTCCCCTGTCTCCACACCAGCGGTGCTACCACTGCACCTTTTGGTACCAGTGGTCAATAATGACATCTCATCTCCCTGTGAGCAGATCATGGTTCGCACTCGATCCGTTGGGGTTAACACGTGTGATGTGGCTCTAGCCACAGAACCTGAGTGCTTGGGCCCCTGCGAACCTGGAACCAGCGTCAACCTTGAAGGCATCGTGTGGCAGGAAACCGAAGATGGTGAGTGCTGTACATGACTTCCCATACCTCTCCCCTGCTTCTGTAGAGGAGACAGAGGGGGCTTGCTATTGTGAATACCACCTGCATTTTCCAAGGGGTCTCAGCGCGACCCAAACAGTGATAGCAACAACCATTTTAGCAGTCTCCCACTTAGAAAGAATGCTAGTGTCAGTTTTTATTTTTTCTTTTCCCCTTTCTTTTGGTTTCTTGAGATGGGGGCTTGTTACGTAGTCCAGACTGGCCTTGAATTCACTGTGTAGCCCAGGCTGTCCTCGAACTCACATCGATCCTGCCTCAGCCTCCCAAGTACTGGGATTACAGAGTGAGCTATGCTTTTTTTTTTTTTTTTTTTGAGACAGGGTCTTGCTATTCAGTTCAGGCTGGCCTTGAGCTCACATTGTAGCCTAGGCTGGTCTTGAACTCACAACAACCCTTTTGCCTCAGCCTCCAGAGTAGTTGGCTCTCATTTTTTTACTTATTTCTGTTTGTGCAGTGCTGGGGATCACTAGTGAAAAATACTCCACTACTGAGCTACACATTCCCACCCCAGTACCAGTTCTTTGTGTTAATTATCTCCCATTCATACTTGCTCAACAGTGTTGGTCCTGCTACTTGGGTAATCACTTAATTGGTACTTATTAGGGAACTAAAACTGTGTATACTAGCCATGTGCTTTCTGTGATTTTATGTGGGAGATTTATTAGGTTATAAGCAACATTGAAGTCAGTAAATGAAGTGTAAGGACAGCTGAGGAAGTAAAAGGAATACAGAAGAGTCACTCTTAAGTTAACTGAATGGGCCAGCCAGAGCTACACCGTGCAGTGAGACCCTGTCTCAAAACCTCAAGGTAGGGTCTGGGGATTTAGCTCAGCTCCATGAGCGCCTGCCTTGCAAGCACGCAGTCATGAGTTCGATCCCTGGTACTGATTTTAAAAAAAGGAAAAAAATCCTCAAGGTAAAGTTTGGCTGCTGTGGTACAGCCTGTAATCCAGCACTCCAAACTTTGCATTCAAGGCCTGTTTGGCCTACATACTGCGTTCACAGCTCACCTGAACTACATAGGGAGACCTTATCTCAAATCAGTTAGTCAATCAATATTAATTAGGCTGGGCGTGGTGCGGTAGGCACTCAGGAGTTTGAGGCAGGAGAATCCTCATGAGTTCGAAGCCAGCCTGAATTACATAACAAAACCCTGTCTCAAAAATCCTAAATAAATCAATAAAATTGACCAGGGGCTGGGGATTTAGCTCAGCGGCATAAGCACCTGCCTTGGAAGCAGGCGGTTGTGAGTTCGATCCCCGGTACCGATAAAAAAAATAATAATAATAAATAAAAATAAATAAATAAAATTGGCTGAATGCTGGCTTATTGAGTGTGAGCTCTGGCCTTCTTTTAGCACCTGGAGGAGTAGCCAGTTCCTTCCTCCTACTGGCTGGCTCATTGCCTAGCCACCTAAACTGCTTCATGCACCTGTCACTTGGTGCAAATTTTATAGACCTAGCCAACAGGGAGATGGTCTGGTTTTCAAGGCTTCCACTACACAGTTGCTTGTTGTAGTTTGCTGCTGCTCAAGGCTGCCATCCAGACTTCTCGTATGTTCCATTTGCCCCCAAGAATAGATCTTCTGTTTTGGAAGTTCATAAAGTTTAAGAAAAACAAAGGAAAAAATAAAGCAGGAGTGCCAAGGTACTTAACAAAGTATTTCGGATCCCGGGGTAACATCTGGTGCAAGTGTCCAGTGCGTCCTATCAATACAGAGTCCCAAGTCCTCTTCATCAGCCTGTCTGTGCTGGAGAATCTGGGCTGCAGAGTCCCGTGTGTCTCTGCGTCAGTGACCAGACTGTCAAAGTGTCCTGCCGCTGAGCCAGAGCTAAAGTGTTGGACCAGCCCACAGAAATTCAGGCACTTCATTCTGGCTGTTCTAACAAAAATGTGTTCCCTTGATTTGTGGGGTGGGGAGGCAGGCCGAAGAGATTTGGAGACAGGTCTTGCTTTGAGTTCAGGCTGTCCTTGAATTCACTGTGTAACCTAGGCTGGCCTCATACACAGTGCTACCACACCTGCCCTTCAATCTTTTTTTGTCATTTAGTTTAGGGGTGTTTTGTTTTTTTTTGTTTTTTTTTAAGTCTTTTTGAGACGGTCTCTATGCAGTTCAGGCTGGCCTTGAGCTCACTTTGTAGCCCAGGCTGGTCTCGAACTCGCAACAATCCTCCTGCCTCAGCCTCCTCATTGCTGAGATTATAAGAGTGAGCCACCATGCCGGCTATTTAGTTTTATTTTAAATTCACTAGGTTTTCCCTAGTAAAGAACTCTGTGTTCCTGGCTCTCTCATTATTAGGGATATAGTAAAACGTCAGTTTTCAGAATAACACTGCTGATGAGGGTTTATTGTATGCTTGAGACCATACTGCTAAAACTAAATAAAATTATGAATTGTGGTAGAAAATGATTGAGAGGAGGGAGAGAAAAGGTGACTCTAGAGCAGTGGTGGCGAACCTGTGGCACAAATGCTGCAAAAGACTTTGTTATCATTGAAAGCTCTCAAAGGTTCGCCATCACGGCTCTAGATGTGGATCATGGATGTGTTACACAATACTGGATGTGAGAGCACACACCTGTAATCCCAGCACTCAGAAAGCTGTGGCAAGAGAATCACCATAAGTTTGAGGCCAGCCTGAGCTACATAGCAAGATCTTATCTCAAAAACAAAACAAAACCAAGCCAGGGATGGTGATGCACACCTGTAATCCCAGCTGAGACAGGAGGATCACTTCAAGTTCAAGGCCAATATGGGCTACAAAGAGAGTTTAGAGTTGGGCACAGTGGCACCTGCCTGTAATTTCAGCACTTGGGAGGCTGAGGCAGGGGGGTTTCTGTGAGTTGGAGGCCAGCCTGGGCTACAAAGTGAATTGAAAGCCAACCTGAATTGCATAGTGAGATCATGTCTCAAAAAAAAAAAAAAAAAAATATATATATATATATATATATAAATTCAAGGCCACATAACAAAGCCCTATCTCAAAAAGAGTGAAGAAAGGAAAAAAAAAAAATATATATATATATACACACACACACACACACGCATGCACACACACACATACAATGAATTCACAAAGTAGATATGCAGTGTTAAAATGTAATTTGGCTATGCCCAAATGTATTAATAGACAGACCCTGTTGGAATGACAAAAATACCCAGGCTGTATCTCTGTGCCATCCCGAAACCGTCAGGGCCCTTGCCTCAGTATGTGGAAAACAGAATACATCAGTGTCCCGTCTGCATGTTCTACTCACATTCATGGTGATGAGTTCTCACCAAGGGCAAAGCACAAACCTGACCAAAGCATTGGAAGAAAGTGAGCTTTGCCTTTTCGTTCTCTGAGGATCCCTGTGTACCCTTTTCCGGTCCTGAATGGCTGTGCTGTCAGGTCACCACTGGACAATGGTCACCAGATTCCCATATTAAGTACCTTGATGTGCTCTGGAGTTCATTTCATGGCTCTTAGCACAGTTTGAAACTTTGTTTATGCAGTAGCTGCATGCGTTTTCTCCTTTCTTTTACTTTTTTGCAGTGCTGGGGATTGAACCTTGGGGGTTGCCAGTCGTCCTAGGCAGGTGCCTGATCTCACGCTCACCTCCATCCCTTGTGATTCAAAGTCCCCCGCCTCATTTTAAATAGCCCTTGTTTTTTTTATTATTAAAATTGTCTATCCCACAGGAAATGGTGGTTCACATCTGTAATCCCAGCACACAGGAGGCTGAGGGAAAAAGATTACCTTTTTGAGTTTGTCTCAAAAAACAAAAAAAGAGAGAAAGATTTATGTTTCCCACTATTTTAGACATTCTGTAAGATTAGGGACTCTGTTTTGCTCACCATTACTACTCTAGCACTTAATATCTGCCATCTATTGTAGGCATCAAAAATATTTGTTTCAGACTAGGCGGGCGTGGTGGTGCATGCCTGTAATTCCAGCACTCAGGAGGCTGAGGCAGGAGGAGTACCACAAATTCAGGGCCAGCCTGGGATACATAGTGAGTTCAAGGCCAACTAAGACCCTGTCTCAAAAAAACCAAAAAATAAAATATAAAAACAAAAATACTCATTTCATGTTTGAGGGAAAGCTCAGTGATAGAGCACTTACCTAGCATATGTGAGGCCCTGAATTCAGTTCCCAGCACTACACACACGCACAGGCCAGGTATGGTGGTGCACACCTGTTACCTCAGCATTTGGGAGGCTAAGATAAGAGGACAACAAGTTGGAGCCCAGCCTGGGAAGTTTAGGAATACCCTTTCTCAAAAAAGGGGTGAGATGGGGCTGGAAGTTTAGCTCAGCGGTATAAGTGCCTGCCTTGCAAGCAGGCAATCGTGAGTTCCATCCCCGGTACCGATAAAAAGGAAAAAGACAAGAAAAGGGGGGGTGGGATGTAATTCAGTGGTAGAGAACTTATCTAGAATAGATTCAATCCCTAGAACTTGGAAAAAAGAAAAAAAAAAAGCTTGAGTGAATGAATGCTTATGTCTGTGTCACTGTCATTTCTGAACCTGTGTTAATACATATCTGACAGATACTCTACTATTTGAATTTGGGAATCGTGTCAAAATACTTCCAAAATTCTCTAAAATTCAGAATAAATTCTACTTTCAGCATATTTTAAATCACTCATTTGTCAAAATCTGTAAAATTTATAGTTCTATGTTTTTTGGTTTTGGGGGTTTTTTATTTTTTCTTTGTGGCACTGGGAGTTCATGTTCCTCACACGGAAGTAGATCCTAGCACACCCCCTTTAATCTTCTTTTTTATTTTCTTTAATTTTGAGACAGTCATGTGAAGTTACCCGGGCCATGCTGGAACTCAGTGTCTTCCTGCCTCAGCCTTACAGAATGTTGGGTCGACCATCATGAGCCATCCCAGCTGGCTTGTGGTTCTTTCAATTTGAGATTTTCTCCCACTTACGGTATCATGCTTTAAGACTGATTGCCTTCCTTCATTGGCTTTT